GTTGCTTCAGAACAAGCTGGCTTGGTTTGGATGTTTGGTTGTATAAGAAATCCCTATCCTTCAGGTCACGCATATGTTGTGATTTTTGGAAACAGCCAAATGAGGAAAATCTTGGGGATTCTTTGGCACTTGAAGCATGGTCTGAAAGGAAAGTACTTTCAGCTACATTGATAGGCCTATGAGAGAAGTCAACAAGAAATCTGTGTAATCTTCCTTGTTTCATTGGATTCTTCCTTTCGTATACGTACTGTCCCACTGAGTATCATTTAAATTCTTCCTAGACCTGGACAGACCTCTAACCTAATATCCAGACCCAAAAATATATGTATATATAAAGAGGAACTCTTATCTCTTTGAGATGTTTGAACTTCTGTGTATGTATGTATAAGTCACATTCCACTCACAGAGACCTAGAGAAGAGAGATGTTGTTAAAAATTAAACACAAGTAATCAAAATTGAACAGGTGGGTATAATAAGATATGGCAAAGAGAAAAGCTAAATAGAAAAAAAAAATATTCCAAGACCAACTGAAAATCACTATCATTAACACTGAGTCATTCACAAACGTCAGGAGACCAATATGGATCTGTGATATAAACTGTCATTCGGGGATATTAATGTCATACTAATGTGCTTTTACTTAAAACTATTTAAGTCCTCTAGATAACCACCTGGTTTCTGGAGTAATACAGATTTAGCCATTTAATTCATGTTTTGATAATCTTTTGCAATAAACTGTATTTGAGAGTATTTTTGCTACTGATGTAACTGCAGAAATCAAATAGTCTAGAATTCGCTGAAGCTGTTAAAATCCTTTCATATCAGCCAGCTACTACTGGTGGAAATTTTATTATAATAGCATAGTGTACAACCTGATGGATGTGGAGCTATCATATCTGGAATGCATATCAAAATAATCCACAGGGAGTGGGATGAGTAAGGGTATAGTGGCCATACATTGGTAACTGCTGAAGTAGGTGATGGGTATGTGGGACTTATTGTATCGTCCTCTCTGCCTTTGTTTATGCTTGAAATTTTTCATAATAAAAAGTTAAATAGAAAATGAAGAGAAATGCTCTTTGTTTAGATCTTAGTCTTTTGCTGGCATAAAATGTAGATATGAAAGAGGGAAAATATGATAAGAGGCCAATAAAGCAATTAACTTCTTGGAAATACTTGTTTTACAAGTTATGCCTGGAAAGGTAAAAGTATGAAAAAGTGTTTTGATTGCTTTTACCATATCTATATATTCACCATGCACAATCCTACCTAATAGTTGACCCTTAAGGAGGAGTCCTCCAGTAAAAATCAGAACAATGTTGCTAATATAGAGAAGACCACTATATTGTACACAAAAATGCAGACTTTGCCATTTTCTCATGTCATCCTCCCAAGAGAAGGGCATTATAGAAAAATGGTAAGATTTCTTTTTTTAAAAAAGATTTTATTTATTTATTTGACAGAGAGAGAGCACAAGCAGTGGGAATGGCAGGCAGAGGGAGAAGCAGGCTCCCCATGGAGCAGGGAGCCAGATGTGGGGCTCAATCCCAGGACCCTGGGATCATGACTTGAGCCGAAGGCAGATGCTTAACCAACTGAGCCACCCAGGTGCCCCCAAATGGTAAGATTTCTGATTAATTTCAGATGGTGCTATGAATATCAGAGTCAAGAAGACAGCACTTGGTAGAAATCTTCATTTTATGTTGAAGATTTTATTCTCCAGGAAGCGCCTGCATGTCTCTTGAGAACTAAGAGCTTCCCACACAAAGGGAAACAAAGGGCTGGCTGTATAAAGCCTAGTCTTTAATATAGATTTTGAGAATGAAAAAGAGAGAGGGAAGAGAAGAAGAGACTCTATTTATTAAAATATACCAGGATCAAGTTGTTAACAGGTAGTCTTCTAAATATACTGTTAATGTGTATAAGGGAGACATTATATTTAATGGTCTGTTGACATATACTCCTTTTAAAAAAAATTTCAACTTATATTTTATTTTTTTAAGTAAGCTCCATGCCTAGTGTGGTGCTTGAACTCATGATCCTGAGATCAAGGGTCACATGCTCTACTGACTGAGAGCCAGGTACCCTGTCATACACTCTTAATAAACAAGTAGAAGAACACTTCTTTTGCCTGATAAAGAATAGTTACTTGAAATCAATGATTTATTTATTCATTTTTTATATGAATAAATATACATTTATATATAAAATAGATGCATGATTCATATTTTATTCAATGGACATATTCTATAATGCAGATTCATATTTTATTCAATGGATTATTACTTATTACTATCATGATTTATTTTAATGCCTACACTGATTTAGATTTGTCAAGTAAAAACCACTTCAGGTTGACTCTTGTGTCCTTTCGACGTGTCCCCATAGGGCTTTTAGTGTTTCCTTACATTCTTTTTTTTTTTTTTAAGATTTTATTTATTTATTTGAGACAGAGAGAATGAGAGACAGAGAGCATGAGAGGGAGGAGGGTCAGAGG